TATACTTAAATCTAATAGTTTTTGTAACATTTAAATTTATTTTTAATAATGTCAGATTGCAGTATGGTGAAAAATGGACATTTACTATTGTTTGTTGAGGTAATTTGATAGAAGAGTTTTGCAGATAAATAAAAATTCGCAATAACGTCACTGTTAATTTCAGTTCTGGCACAATATCCTTCCAGATTTACTACCTCTAAACTAGATCAATTGTAGAATAAATAATTAATATCATAAAATAAGCTTAGAAAATTCTGGAGATTTCAAATCAAATTTTAATGTATTTCTTGAAACGTCAAACAATACTGTCAAAATTGGGGGTTCTTTATGTCGATCCCGATGTAAAATACTCCTTTCTTAATTTTTTATTCAAAGGTTTTGACTTACATTGTATATTCCTTTTTTATTCTAAAGCGACGTAACTTAGGAAACACGAACATCAACATTGTCACTTATAGCATTCACTCAAATTTGTCAATAAAAAATATCTGTCATTATCAGAAGAAAAGCAAACTCTCGAATACACATTGATTTGAATTCAAGAAAAGGTAGAGAACGATTAACAGTTATTTAACGTTTTTTTCAATATTATTTTCCTTTTTTTCAGATGGCACTGGCACGGATGTTCACTCGACCGATAATACGTCATCGCATCGGGCAAGTATTCAAAACTATTTCTTCTGCACCCAGACGCGTGGCTTTGCTTAAAAATCCCTCGGTATATTGCAGTGAGAATTTGAGATTTATTAGTCATTTAGCTATTAGAGATGAATCTGTAGAAGAAATGATCTGTAGGTTAGTATTATAAAACAGTGTAACTTATATGAATTTCTATTTCACGAATTATACAGGGTGCAGATAAAAATAAGCAAAAAAGTTCGAATAAATGTATGTCCTAAAATGCTTAGTTTCCGAGATACAGGGTGTAGAAGTTTTATTTTTATTTCGATTTTTTCCAAATAATTTGTGAATAATCAATCAATATTTGGATGAAAATTGTGTCTAGGACAAAGAATATACCTAGCTAGAAAAAGAATGGACTCTACTATACTAAAAAATGGCCCTACAGAAGTGGCGCCATCTATTGAGTAGGGTTTGTTTTAAATGGATCAAAGCGCGGGCTTTTAATTAAATTTGATTATTAAATCTTATTTTTTACACAAATTCAACAATACTAATAACAAGTATCGTTGTGATGTGTAAAAAATAAGATTTAACAGTATAATTTATACAATTATTAAATAAAATTAAAGCCAAACATGTGTAAATATTATTTATTATTTAAAGTTTTTATTTATAAGTCAAATATTTAAACATCATTTATTATAAGAAAACAAGATCAACGTAATACGCCCAAAGTTTTGTAAATATAAATAGGTATACTTAAATGATGGCAAAAATAAAAGACTTACATTATATTTGTAGGGCAACAAACAAAAGGAATTGTCTAATTAAGTCACATAATAATATAACAAATTATAGTTTGAAAAACGTTTTGATAATCATTTGATAATATTATGATTGGCGCTATGACAACGACAATATTTTTTGAGAATTTGACAATAGTATGACAATGGCCGTTGGTAACTATGGAAACTACAAAAAAATTCTGATTTAACGCCATCTAGCAATAACTAGTAGCAACTTCTTAACCTAAAAATTAATTGCACTACCACCTAGCGCCTGAGGCTGGAACTATTTTATTTGAAATTTCCGTGGAAACGGTGGAACCGCTGTTGCTATTTCACTTTCCCGCCCCTGGTCTAGGAGTTCTTTGACATGATAAATTTGATTCTGATGTCAATATGACTCCTACTGGTAGAGGGCGCCACCTACATGTGTTTTAACTCTTTTGAAGCGTAATAACTTTTTGTCCGTACCTGTATAAAACTACCGAGGGAAATCTCTTTGTAAGAATCGCTACGCGCAACCGTTGTCAAGATATTTAGAATGGAAATAGTCAATACATGTCATTATTGACGAAAAATAAACACGTGGAGTAGATAGTTTTCACTGAAATAATAAATTTGGGAAATTTTTATTTTTTCAAAATTAATCATAAATTTTTCTGCAAAAAATTGACGATAAAACAGTTTCTGTTGAACTTTTGGCACAAAAACTTTCAAATTTATGATCTCAGTCTAATAACTATTTAGTCAAAAATGTTTAATTTATGTCAATGATGACAGGTATTGATAATTTCGATTCCAAATATCTAGAAAACCAATACTCGTAGCGATTTTTACCAAGAGACATTTTTTACTTAAAAAACGTCGTAAATGTGTATTTTTTTACTCATTAGTTTTATACAGGTACGGACGAAAGTTATTACTCACTTCAAACCGGTTAAAAAATAGGTGGCGCCCTCTACTAGTAGGAGTCATAATGACATCAAAATCAAATTTATCATGTTCAAAAACTCCAGACACCAATTTTCATCAAATATTGACGTTACTGCAGAGAGTATTTGGAAAAAATCGAAATAAAAATGAAACTTCTACACCGTGCGTATCTCGAAAACTAAGCATTTTAGGACATACATTTATACAAACTTTACTACTTTTATATTTTATAGAGGTGGAGGCTGGAGGATCTGTCTCCATTTTCTCCGCCTCTTGAACTTGGTCTCTCCTTAGACCTGACACCGGTGTTGTCCCGTATCTGTAATAGAGGATTTATCCCTCTTTCTCTATTGCCTCCTCGAATTTGAGGGCAATTCCTATTGTAAGGGCCGGATCATGATCCTCCTCCCTCGAGTCGATAACTCGCCAACTCCTTACATTCCTGTCCTTACATTGCAGTTGAGCCTGGATAAGGCCCGGCAAGTAGATGGTGTATTTCGCCTTGTTCCTTGTGTAGATGGTGTTTTTCCCTCCTTGCCGGAGCAGAGGTGAGAGGTTCTCGCTCCCTCTCTAGCCCTTTGGTGGAAATGCGCCACGGTGTTTCTTGGTTCCTTTACTCTCCCCTTTTCCAAGGCGTGTTTTCGCTTTTGCTTCGTCTGGAGCAAGTCCTTCGTGGAGCAGACGGAGGTATCTCCGTGCTTCTGCTCCACTAAGATCCACTCTCAGAGGATCGTCTAGCACGCCTGGTTCACCCAGGTTTTTGTAGACAAAACGGTAGCTTGTGTCCAGGGCCGGACTTAACAAAGTTGCCGCCCCAGGCTAAACAAAATTTGAGGCCCCTTAACATTTTTTTTAATTAAAAAAATTACGGATATAAAAACATTTATTTGAATACAGGATCAACAACAGAATAGACCGACAGAACAGATCAACACAGAACATAAGATAAATATTAAAATATTCATATAAAATGACAACAAACGAACAACAAAACTACATACTCGTATAAGGTTTGCTTATATGCCTATAAAGGTTTCCCACGTACCTTTTTGTTCGCAAAATTATCAGTTACTTCATCGTAATTATTAGTTTTTAAAAGGTCGGATGTACTCAATATGTAAAACTGCTAAATGATTTAGACGTTCTGTTTCCATAGTGGACCGTAAATAAGTTTTAATACGTTTCAATACAGAAAACGAGCGTTCAGCAGAACAGTTAGTAATAAAAGTACATGTGAAGATCCTTAATGCTATGAAAGTATTTGGAAACAGGTTTTTTTAGCCGGTAAGAATATTTTTTTTTCATTTAAATTAACCTTTAAGAACTCTCTAGCTATGATGGTGTTTGCTGACTTATGCATTTGTTATAAAATTCACGGAAAACGTATGTTAGTTCATTAGGTTTCAATTTGACTGAATTGACTCATCTAAATTCATTTGATAACAGGTAATTTAAATGGTCTGGACTTATCGTAGAATGTTGTCAGTACTTAAAGTAGATAAATCAACTAAAAAAAAAGAACTTCGAGAAATTTAGGTTGAAAAGTCATTGTAAGGCTCATTTTGCCTGTAAGGAAATTTCAGGATTAAAATTTATCATAATACAGGGTAAATTAACATTTATCACTAAAACATTCGTTCCTAGCGTTGAAATGTAGAAGTAGCAATGTGTTAGAAGGGAGTAATCACCGGCCGAACCTGTTATAGATCTATTGTGTGTGTGGTCCCCTTTCTTGCGTTATAACGAGTTATAACTCATCATAAGAGTCTCAGGGCTTTACAGAAAGCCAGTATCTGAGACCGCTCCACAGAGGCCAGATCTCCATCCTCGACATCAGACGTGCCAAGGTTAATGGCACGAATGGTCCGTCGTCTCGGCGCATCCAGTGATAAGGTGTTCTGGTGTTTCCGCACTTTCCCCACAGAATCTGGCAATTTTCGTCGTTTAGTTTCTCAGTTTTTCAGCCTACTACCTGAGGTGTTCGTTGAGGAGACAGTGTCCTTGTTAGAAACCCCGTGAATCCGAAGATTGTTTTTACTTAAATAAAGGAAAAACTTTTTTTTTTTTTTTATTTTTAATTTTTCTTGGTCAGAAACATCTTCAGAAACATCTTCGAGAGTCTCAGAGCGTTCGTTTATTCCCGTTCCAGGTTACTGATGGAGCCTTCCAGATTCTTCAGTTCCGCTTTCAGTTGGTTCCCGTTTGGAAAAACAGAACGGTTCTGGTCCAGTTAGTGGAGTGTTTCGGTTCCTTTCCTAGCTTAGAATCATTTGGCTTTTTCATTGCCTTCTATCCCTTGGTGAAGGCATGAGGCACCCAGAGCTAGGAGGCTTTATTTTCTTTGGGCCTAATTTGTTAGCTTCTCTAGGCTATTCTTTGACCAACTTCGAATTGATGGTTACTTGAGTTGATCGCGTTAAGTGCATGCTTGACTATGGAATAGGATGGCAATTTCCTGTTTTCGATAGTTCCTATCCAAGAAAATTGTACGCATCTTTCGATAGGGCCAAAATTTCTGCGTGAAGGATACTGGGGTAGGTGCCCATATGTTTCCTAAGCGTTAATAGAAGTTTCTTATTCACTGTATTTAATAACGCAATACAATACAATGGTTTTATAAACAAATGTAGACTTAAACAAACTAAATTTAATTGATTACACAATACATGCTATACATACCCAAATTATTGCTGGGTTTCTGATTACTCAACAGCGTTCTGGCGCTGTCGGTTTCCGAAACTGGTGAGGTAGGCGATGATCCGTGAGGTTCGGGACTTTTTCGTAAATTTTTGAGACTCTCTAGGTAGAGTTTATGTGAGAAGTTGGTTCTTCTTAAACCGACGTCGTTGAGTTCGTCTTCGGTGTAAATGTGTTGATTTTCTGTAAAGTACGATTAACATTATCGAGAAAAAATATTATAACCCAATCACTTTCTCAAATTTTTTCAACCAAAAATTAGAAAGTCGGAGCTTTTGAAGCAGTTAGTTTCTATAGTTCATATCAAATAAACTTTTAGTCACGTGATTAAGCTTGATTGGCACAGCGTTGCCCACTTTTAAATATTTTCTTTTAATCCAAATATTTAAGAAAACAAAACTAAATTAATTATTAAATATATAAACAGTTATTATTTACATCAACAAAACTCACCTTCTTGACAGCATATAAGAGACATAAAGATCCATTACTACCGCTTTCCCGTTCAAAATATTCTAATAAAGTTGCCATGAGTTTTTTACCGCTATTAATCTACCTTGTATACTTCGCACTAAAAGAGGTTCTTAAAAGAACAATGTTCGACTGCAAGCTCTGCTAGTAAAAATTTTGAAGCTTAAAGACAATTCATTTAAACCAAAAACTCGTAATACAAAACAAAGTGTCAAAACGAATGACAATAGGGAATAAATAAACAAATGTGGCAACTTGACATTCTTTACAGCAGAGTTACCACCTGAATCCTCCTTCTTCTCAATCAAAATCTTGCCCATATACTTATATGATATGAAAAGTGACTTTATTTCTGTAATAATTATAATGACTTGGCAATTGCGCGGCACAAGAAATATAAAAGAATACCATTTCTATTACTAAGTGAACCTAAATAGTGCATTTAAGAATATTTTTTTATTTTCTATAATATTGATACTAACAATTTATAACAAAATTGTTGAATAAATGCTTAATAGAAACTAAGGAAAATAAACTGACTTGGTTTTACATGAAATCTTACAACTTTTTTGGCATGTTACATACTATGTTTTTGATGGGATATATGTAAGACTGTTTTGTGAAGTTTTTTTTGTTATCTATTTTTTAAATAGAATCTAAATGCGTCAAAACTTTCGACTCTCTATTTTTTTTAATTTTTTCGATATGTTTCAACTAAAATGATTAGGCATTTTTTGTAAAACCACATACCGGTTTCTTCAACATCCTCGGCAGAGTTTTGACTGTACAATGAAGATCTTTTCTTATTTTTATCTTGGACGATGCCCAAACTTCGGTAACCTTCGTCGGACATTTGAGATGAGGTATCGCTGTGAGTGTCGCTGCTGTGTGACTCGGTATTGACTTGAAGAACTGCTTCGGATTTTAGTACCTAAAAATAATTTAAGTTAAATATCTTGCTTGAAAAAATATTTCGGCCATATTTTTCTACAAAATTTCCATCTTTAAATATATGCTACGGTTAAAATGAATACTTGGCTAGTTTAAAAATTAATCAGCAAATTTGGAAACTAACTAAAAGTGCAGATATTTTGAATTAATCCGACTATTTGTGAAAAATTGGTGGTAACCGGTATTTTGCATAAAGTTTTATATTTAGTTTCATATGTTCCATATCTAATATAACATACGATCGAAAAAAAGGCGTCAAAGATGGTTGGGGAATGACAACAATGATAATTTTGACGAGGTCAAGCCCTAGACATCAATACTTGGTCCGTGCTCTTCTTTAATGGCGCTTACTAGCAGTTGGCCACCAGAAGGTTTGTAATTTGTTTTTATATTAAGTAAAAATTATTTTTAAATGGTGTAGTTAAAATAGTTTTTGAAAATATATTTTTTTGTGTGTCTGGAAACTTCCTATCCTTTTTTAATACTTCTATAATTAATGTTAATTTTGACAATTTTTATGTCAATTATTAGGAAACGTCTAGAGATGACCGTTTGTTTTTCTATCATACAGTACTTTTCTAAATGGTATTAGTACAAATTGAGCAACCATACTTTGCAGAGGTAAAGTGATGTTTTACCCATGTAGAAGGCAATAAAATATTCTTTGATATGAAAAAATATACATCTACAAAATTATTAATAATAATAAATAATTATTAATTAAAAAAATATTAAAAGCAGTTTCTATTTCACCTTATTTTCTACAGGTATCTGTATGCTGGCTACATGCTTAGGTTGTGGTAAATAAGGAGGCAAACTTTGAGGTCCCGACGATGTTGTTTTTACTGAAGGCTGTGAACTTCTGGTAGCTAACTTGGTCGTGTGTGTTGAAGTAAAGTTTGGTGTAGGACTTCTGGATCTACAATACGCAAGAAAAAAATAATTATCATTCCTATTAGTAATTACTAAATGCAAGACCAAGACCAAGACCCTTGACGAGTTATTTAATAGTCCTGGTCTAGCCAGTCCAAGTTTTGGTCTTTGTTTTCCTGCAAGACTCGTACCGTACTTTCACATTTATATTTTTACTAGAGATACTTTGTACAAATAAAATCTTAAAATAAATAGTTTTTCAAGTAATTTATTGCAAATACAATTTTAAAGAAAAGAAAATTATACGATGAAGTGCAAATACACTCACCGGCACGAAAAACGGGCACCTTATAGTTTTCATATATTTTAAAATTTTATATATTATGTTCTATTGGACCGATTTTGGTGATTTTTTAAGCAATTTGTAGCTAAATTATTTGACCATAGATAAAAGACTTGTAATTTATTTGACTTTTTAATATGTAATTCTAAATTAAAAATGAAAGTTCATCTGTCAATTATACGAGAGAAAACAAAATGTTGATATTTTGGTGAAAGTTTGGAACACCCTGTGGAGTAAGTTACAAAGCAAGCAATGAAAAAATTAATTTATCATCTAAGATCTTTTCTCGATAATTTATTTTTTGAATCATCTCAATAGCTGTATTTATTTTAGAGATATTCGCTTTTGAAGACATTACCATTTTTTCGTATTTTTTACTTTACAACCATGCCTTTGCTTTTGGTCCTAGTCAACACACCTATAAAATAGTGTTTGTGATTTATGTAAATTGAGTTGAAAATTGTCACTGAAAAATCATATTATTATTATCTGTTGTGCAGTTACTTTAGAGGATAATATGGTTTTAAGTCCAAAAGTTGATCTCTACCATAAATAATTAAAGCAGCCATAGCCCGATCGATAGTTCAGTACTTAAAACTATCTCTGTTAGAGTAAACGTCAATAAACAATAATAATGTGACTTTTGAATGACAGTAACATTACAACAGTAAACACTATTTTATAAGTGTGTTGATCAGGACTCAAAATCAATGCCAAAAATTTCTGTAGACCGTTACTGTCTTATTTAAAAGCGAATATCTCCAATAAAAATAAAGATATTGAGATGAGTCAAAAAACAAACTATCGAGAAACGATGTACCTAGATGACAAAATGATTACTATATTCCTTGCATTGCTAACTTACTCCACAGGGTGTTTCAAACTTTCACCAAAATATCAACATCTTGTTTTCCCTCGTATAGTTGACAGACGAAAACTTCATTTTTAATTTAGAAAGAGAAACTAAAAAGCCAAATAATTTTTCTAATTTTTATTATAAAAAATACGTCCATGATTTTTTTTCGTCTAGTTAGTTGCAAAGTCACGGATATTCCCGACCAATGAAACCACAAGAATACTGTTTTTGTCTTGTTGCTTACTACCAATATCAATCGATACAGCATTATCTGACCGAGGAATTTAATTTATGAATTACAAATTCTCTGGCTAAATATGTGTCCCAATTCTCTTACCAAATATCGTGGGCATACTGCCAAAAGTGACCAAGTCAGTTTTTCTTGATTTTAAGGTAACATGTTCAAGTCAGTCAGAAGTTATAGCGGAATATCTGGAAAAAGTGGCCAAGTCAAAATATAACACATAGAAGGCGCCACACGAATAACACTATTATGACCAAGTCAAAGTACTTAGGTTGAGTCCAGGTACAAATGAGTATGTTGACTTGGTCATTTTTTCACTTCTCCAACAAGCTTGATACCTAACAGACAGCGATAAATGACTATTACGACTTGGTCACTTTTTAATGTCCAGGCAGTGTGTTCACGTGCATAAGAAAATCTGAATTATCGTTCACGTGCATAAGAAAATCTGAAATTATTGTGCTTGTAATATGGCTTCCAGAGGAAAAGTTTTAGTGCAAATGTGTTTGGATAGTTCAGAAACGATTGCTTCAAATATATATAATGAAGGTAAGAATTTTATAGTTGTTTAATAATAATTGATTATTATTATCGATTTAACCTATTTTGAGGTTATGTTGAACTCGAAAAAATATTTTGGGATTGTAGACCGGGGGTGCATTTTAAAAGTTTTTTAGTAGGATGAAATAGGGCCAGCTACTAATAACACGTATTGTTTTTAGAACCGTGTTGTTCAAAATCGTTCGTCCAAAGGGTCTCCACTTTATCTGCGGCAAGCAACATTGACAAAGGTAAATACTTTTAGTTTGATTGTCTTTTTCCTTACATACTTAACATTTTTTAATTAGGTTCATTATGCTCTAGTGCAACGCAAGATTGCCTAAGTACGATAAGTAATGCCCTTATTGATGAACATTTAAGGCAGGAAAATGTTCCTACCCATGAAAACGATGGTTCGGACTTTTCAGCAGGTAGTAGCGATAATTATATCCCGAGTGATAATGGGGCCAATCAAACATAGAATCAAGTTCTGATAGTGATACTCCCTTATCAAAACGAATGTGCCGTTGGAAAAAAGCTGATCCTGCACATTGGAAAAAAATATTAATAAAAAGAAGAGAAAATCGCGTTTGCCATACGAATCCAATTAAAGCAGCAAAGAAACCTAAAGTCACGAATTGCAATTCTTGCAAGTTTAAATGCTCACTTCATTTTGATGACCAACTTAGAGACCTGTTATGTTCCGAATTTTGGAAACTAGATTACAATCGCCAAAAAGACTTTATTCTCTCTTGTGTTTCAAGCAAAGAACCTGCTTGTAGAAGAATTCGATCTGGGAAAGGTGTACAAAAAACTAGTAGCCGGTATTATTATTTTTTAAAAGCGGGTATCAAAGTTAGAGTTTGCAAAATGTTTTTTCTGCGAACTTTGTGCATTAGCCATGGCCCGGTAGACAAGGCATTTTCTGGGGTGAATGCAACAGGAATATTTGCTGCAAACGATAAACGTGGTAAAAAAGAGCCTGCTAATAAAACAAAACCACAAATCATTGCTGAAATCAATACTCACATAAGAAGTTTTCCGACTATGGCCACTCATTATTGTAGAGCATCGACTAAACGATAGTATTTAGATGCAAACTTGTCTATTTCAAAAAATGTACGCCTTATATGCTGAGAATTGTAAAAATAAAAATAAGAAATATGCATCCCAAATAACCTACCGCCGCATATTTTGCAATAACTTTAACTTGTCTTTTTCAAGCCGAAAAAGACCAGTGCTGTGACATGTGCGAACTACTTGAAAGAAAAATCAGCTGACCTAGAAGAAAACTACCAATGTCATATTCGGAGAAGAAACGAAGCAAACAATGCAAAAAAATTAGATAAGGAGCGTGCAATGACTGATGATTGTTTTGCAGAGCGTTCTGCAAATACCATCCTCAGATGTTTCACTAATGTACTATAGCAGAAAGCTATGTGCGTATAATCTCACAATTTACGAAGCAGCTTCACAGAAAGCCCATTGCTACACGTGGACTGAGTTTAATGGTCAGAGAGGTAGTTCGGAAATAGGTACATGTCTGTACCGTTGGATACAAAATTTGCCAGATAATGTCACTGAAATAAGTTTGTTCTCTGATACCTGTAGCGGACAGAACAGGAATCAGTTTATTGCCGCTTTATTTTTATTCATAGTACAAAACAGCACTTTAAATATTATAGAGCACAATTTTTTAGAGTCTGGCCATTCCTACATGGAAGTCGACTCTATGCATAGTGCAATAGAGAATGCCAAAAAGAACGTTCCTGTTTATACTATGCATGATTGGTTGAACGTTTTTCGACTGGCGCATTCGAATCGCGGCCGAAATAAAAAAAGTGACCCTTACAATACCCAAGAGTTAAAGTATAATGACTTTTTCGACCTAAAGAGCCTAGCTGTTATGACTTTGAAAAACAGAACCATGGACGAAAGTGGAGAACGTGTTAACTGGCTTAAAATTAAATGTATGCGATATGAAAGAGCTAAACCTCAGTTTATAATGTTTAAGTACAATTATAGTGATCCAGAGTTTCGTATGCTTAACGTAGCTGGACGTTGTAGTCGCAATGTAAACAGTCTTGTCATGCCAAATGGAATACCACGATTGTATACTAAACAGGTTCCAATTTCAAATGTGAAAAAACAGGACCTTTTAAAACTATGTAAGACGGGAGCAGTACCTTCCGAATTTCATGCCTGGTATCAGTCTATCCCAGCAGAAAATACAAAGAAGGATGTAGCACCAGAGCCATTATTTTGGTCCGAATCGGATTCGGATTAGTTTTAGCTGTAAATAGAAAACCCCTTTCGCTATTGTTTGCATTTATAACTATTTTATTGTAAAAAATAGAAATAAACTGTTTTTTTGTGTTCATTTATTAAATAAAAGTGTATTTTTGTTTGGCCATGTCTGTAATATGAACAAAATTGTACATGCAAAAATGACCAAGTCAATTTTATTTTGAAAACCAACATATAAAATGCAATTGGAATACTTAATTATGAACGACTGACTGCATCTTAAAAATCTAAAATCTCTATTAAATATCTAATCTCTAATAAACTTTTTAAAATAATACTTAAAAAAATTACAAATTTTCAAGATCAATTATCCAGAAATGATAATAATTGACTTGGTCACTTTTGGCAGTATGCCCACGATATGTGCCCCAGCATATTGGCCAACATGTAGAGAGACCAAGGAGATTAAGACCAAGATCATGAACACAAGGCCAAGACCAGTCTCGCCATATCACTAAACCAATTGATGGCTGCAATAACCAGGCCGGTCCATTTTAATAAATTCTGCTAGCCAAAGTAGGAAGTTCGAAGAGCTGCACTATTCTTGCTACAACCGAAAGCCAAGCACTTCCAAATAATGTTGCCATTTATGTATTGTTGAATGAAGATACCTGATTGTAGCCAAGAAAGATCGGACTATTTTTTAAAGGGCATTTCAGTAAATATCTCATTTTCGTAAAAAACTGAAGCTGCCTGGTTATTGCAGCCACCGTACCCCTACAATGATATTTCTTTATAACACAGTTCTATATACCTGATATTGGGAGGTGCTGCCAGACTTTTTCGAGGAAAATTGGGACTGATTGATCGTCTGGTGTCGGCATGTAAGAAGGATGGCGATTTGGAACGGGATCTGTTGAGAGAATTCATCGGAGGGCCGAGACTGTGAGGTCCGCTGTTGATGCCGTTGATTGTCGGTGGAAGAGATGCCGGAGAAACATTTGATCTGAAAAAATTTTTCGACTTTAATTTGCTCTAATAACTTTTATTAGTCTGACTGGTTCAGTTTTACTGGTCAAATAATGAACATAAGAACACTTTTTCATTGAAAGTGATCAGTATAGTATATTTCTTTTACTTTATTAGATCGAAAATGACACTCTGAATAGAATGACATATCATATGTTAACTTTTGACATTTTCGCTTAAAACAAAATTGTGTTTTAAATTTTAATCGAGGGTGCCATGGCTGTGTTAAAAACACCAATTTTTAATCAAGCTTTGGAAAATAGATTTGATCATCTAATGTTTTTAGTGTCTTGTCCTGGCCTGTTAAAAGATACAGAAATCGTATTTTTAATCATATTTCATTTTTTCAAATGGAACGAGGGTGGCTCATTCGCATATTTGAAAAAAGCATTTTTTTGCGATTAATTTGGTACCACACACTTGATATTTAGAGTCAAATTGTCGTAATGAATCGCATATTGCAATTTCAAATAAACCATATTCGAAAATGTCAAAAGTTGACATATGATAAGTCATTCTCAGGGGCGGGAAAGTGAAATAGCAAAACCGGTTCCACCGTTTCCACGGAAATTTCAAATAAAATAGTTCCTGCCTCAGGCGCTAGGTGGTAGTGCAATTAATTTTTTAGGTTAAGAAGTTGCTACTAGTTACGCCAGATGGCGTTAAATCAATTTTTTTTTGTAGTTTCCATAGTTTCCAACAGCCATTGTCATACTATTGTCAAATTCTCAAAAAATATTGTCGCTGTCATAGCGCCAATCATAATATAATCAAATGATTATCAAAACGTTTTTCAAACTATAATTTGTTATATGTGTTCATATATGTGTTTTAATTAGACAATTCCTTTTGTATGTGGCCCTAAAAATATAATGTAAGTCTATTTTTGCCATCATTTAAGTACCTATTTATATTTACTCCATTTACAAAACTTTGGGTGTATTACGTTGGTCTTGTTTTATTATAATAAACGATGTTGAAATATTTGACTTATAAATAAAAACTTTAAATAATAAATAATATTTACACATGTTTGGCTTTAATTTTATTTACTAATTGTATAAATTATACTGTTAGATCTTATTTTTTACACATCACAACGATACTTGTTATTAGTATTGTTGAATTTGTGTAAAAAATAAGACCCAACAATCAAATTTAATTATTTTAGACTAAAATTCAATAAACACGCTCATTTAAAAAGCCCGCGCTTCGATCCGTTTAAAACAAGTCCTACTCAATAGATGGCGCCACTTCTGTAGGACCATTTTTCAGTATGGCAGAGTCCATTCTTTTTCTAGCTAGGTATATTCTTTGGTCATTCTATTCATAGTGTCTATCATGTGCCTATCGAATAAAGTAACAAAATCCTGAGGGTGCCAATTAAAAATCAAAAGTTGTAGTCATTTCCGGTGAAACAGGAAGTGACCGAAAACAATTGTGTACTCTATAATATCAATCAAGTAATATGTCAATCAATCCTAATTTATAACATATACTAACCCCAACCAAACTAAACCATTCCAAATCTCGATTTTTTTTATGTGAAAAAATAAAAAAGTTATGAGGCTGAGCCGCTTTTGAGACGCACCCTGTATAGTGGAAACTTTCGAAGTTTCCACTATAACATTATATTGTATTAAACAGTTCTTTTTAGATCAATGACCTAACACTGATCGTAGCGTGAGCGTATACACAAAATAAAGTATTACTTTTTAATTAACAACATTTTTAAATTACTTCAGCGTGTGGGATTTGATAGAAGGAAAAAATCAAAAGGGTGACTCACCGAAAATGTCAATAAAAAGATTGGAGGAGATGAGTAACGTATAATTCCTTAAACACACCCAGTTAGAACAGGTTGATTACTGAAATTTTTATTTTGAAACGTTCTTTGCTTAGGATTTAGAAATGCAAATAGTCGTAAAGTTAAATCATCGAGATTGGAGGTAATTCTTAAATCATGGATAAATAAAGCTTAAAAAATACGGCTTTAAGATTTTATCTCGTTTTTTTAATTTGATAATTTGTATGTAGTTCAGTCAAACTTCATTCAAAACAAGTATACATTTTATACATAGGTAGTAGATTAAGTTTACAAGAAGGAAAATCCAGAAACGACACAGTGGTTCTCAAAATTTTAGCAAAAAATCTTTTTTTTTTGGAAATTTTCAAAGTAGAATGACAAATGTAAATAAGGTTATTTTGGATTTATCTGAAAAACGGTAAAAAGAAAATATGTTTCTTTTATCGAGATCTACCCTAAGGATCTACCAGCCCTGAAAATATTTGCACTTATTTAAGATTCATCCTGTATATCTCAGCAATACAGCTAGTTATAATATGTCCTCTTGGTGACTAAAAATTAAGATTCTTGCTTTATCTACCACGAAGTTACAGGGTGGTTAAAAGTGTCGTGAGTTGTTTCGAGAAAAGGATGGTACAGTTTAAAGATATTACGATCATACTGACCTGTCATAGAACACTTGAGCTCCATGAAGATCGGGTGCCCTTCCTGGTACCAGTTTAGCCCCTTGGGTAGGTCTGTGTTGTCCCCGGCATCGACACGGATCGTGTTTATCCAGGTAGTGTGCCAGAGTGTCCCAGCCGCCGCCAACCCGGACCATGACATGCTTCCTTAAAATCTGAAAAGACAGTTAACATTTTTAATTTAAATAATCGTTTTATCGCTGCTAAAAACTAAAGTGCTCTTGGACTAGTTCTCTTGATATTTAAAAGAATGTTTCTTGTTCCTCACTGTTTTTCTTATTCTGACGACGCGACGGAAGAAGAAGAAGATATACCTTCTGAAGCCTTAAGCATTTTTTTCACTCCTATTTGACGCAGTGGTGTTTACAAAAAATTACCGTTCTTTTTAGATTTCCCTATAAGTGAAAAAATACTCGAGCTTTCAAGAAATTAACCCGTTTGAAAGGTATTTTTGACGTGGAACAGCCCATTATTCTAATCTAGGTTTTATATATTATATATTATACCGTATGGATGGGAAATGACCATTCGTGCCATGAACCTTGGTACGTCTGATGTCGAGGATGGAGACCTGGCCTCTGTAGAGCCGTCTCAGATACTGGCTTTTGTTAAAGCCCTGAGACTGTATGATGAGTTATAACTCGTTATAACTCAAGAAAGGGGAACACACAATAGATCTATAAGGTCGCGGTGATTAACTCCCCTCCTAAACATTCTACATTCTACATGGATGGGAAATGGCAATCGACGATAATTTTACAGCTTTGTTAGAGACTCTAGACGTCATTTACTACAAATTGACATAACGTGTGAAAAATTAACACTAATTATAGAAAGATTACAAAAGGATAGAACGTTTTAAGACACAAATCTATTTTGAAAAGAAATTTTTTCTGGAATTTTTAACTCACCATTTAAAAACCGGTATAAAAATAAGCTACAACCTTCTTAAGCACAACTGGCAGTAAGTGTCATTAAAAAATAAAGAAGAGTACGGATCAAGTAATATCGTCTAAGGCTCGCCAAAATTATCATCGATTGTCATTTCCCAGCCGTCTTTGACGCCGTTTTTTTTTCTCGATCCAGTATTATACAGGCATATATTTCTAGGGGTGGTATATTTCGATTCCAGTAATACGTCTACGAGAATACATATGACTCATAAGGTGATTTTGAGAAAAAAAAAAATTTTTAATTTTCCGTTCAAAAATATATCTTGATAATAAGGCAACATTACAGTTGGGGGTTGGAAAATTATTATTGGTGTTATACAGCAAAATAAAACACTAAATCACCACAATACACCAAAACACTTTTACTTTTACACTGGACGCGCATTTCGCTAACCATGTTAGCATCATCAGCAGATGCTTAAAAAACTCAAATACTTTGTCGAAGTTTTTTAATCATATGCTGATGATACAAACATGGTTAGCGAAATGCGGGTCCAGTGTAAAAGTAAAAGTATTTTGGTGTATTGTGGTGATTTAGTGTTTTATTTTGCAATAAGGCAACATAGGTGAAAGATTAAATCTAGAGGAACGAAAAACCTAGTTGTTGAAAGATAGATAGATATATTCTTTATTGTTCAAAATATTGTAAATACAATGTGGAATGTAAAATTGGATATGACAGTCCAATTTTAAATTCCCATGGACACTTTTCCTGCTCTACAAGTTGCTATTTTTAGATTATAAAACTGATGATTCCTTTTCGAGTTACCATCATCAACTTTATTTTTATATGCCAGACATGGATTTCTTATTTTATTTATTAAAAGCTTACGACCTCCGAAATACAATGATATAGCAGCACTTGCCCAAAAAATAATAGATATCAATTTTGTTATAAGGAGTAACGTATTGGAGGGAGATACCGATCACTTTGATTAGGTGTGTGTAAATCAAGCAACGTTATTACTCTTTAGGCGGTCTACTGAAAAACGGTTAGGTTCTAGAACTAGGAAATTATAACTAACAATGACTTACCCTCACAAAAATAAGAACTTTTGTATCTCCGATTCTGTATTTCCCTTCTGAGACTCGAATCATGGGGAACTGAGTAGGGCAGGTACATTGGGCTACCAAGTCACGAACCTGGAATAAAATATTAGAGATAAGTATTCAAAATATCAATATCAATTACAAAAACAAAGAAAAACGTTTTTATGCAGTTATATTAATTATTATATACCTCCATTTTTACCTAATAAAAAAATAATCATAATTTAATACACCACTATTTATAAATTTAATATATCTATATTATTTCTATAGCCTCATTCAGAACCTCGCAATTAGTGGATTAAATTAGTGGTTTCAATTACACAATTTTTTAGTTTACGATCATTCACAATTTAAAAAAAAACAATTAAAATTAATAGAATATCCTAGCAACAGCTTGCGTTAGTCAGTTGTATCCATAGAGAAAGCCAAATATTTAGCTTATAAAACAATCAACTTTTGATTTCTAACCACAATTTCTCTTGACGGAAGATAATCAAAAGCCAAAATGACATTTCTGTCGCAAATTTTGAAGTATAATTAGTGGAAAAGTTAAAAGTTTGATAACTTTTTCTACTAAATGGAAATGTCTACCACTAATTTTGACGTTCTGAATGTTTACATTGAAATTAAAGGAGCAAACTTCTACGCTAATTGAAACCACTAATTTATTCCACTAATTCCACTAATTGCTTTTGAACACTTTTGCCACTAATTATACTTCAAAATTAGTGATTGATGTCATTTTGGCTCTTGATTATCATATGTCGGTTAGAAATAAAAAGTATATTGTTTAAGTTAATATTAGGCTTTCTCTATGGATACAACTGACTACCGGAAGCTGTTGCTTAGATATTCTTAATTATTATAATTTATATTATAATCATTAATTTTAATTCTGTTTTTGGACATTGTGAATGATCGTAAACTGTTAAGTATAAATTATAATTGAAATAACTAATTAATTCCACTAATTTCGTTGTTCTGAATGAAGCTTAAGGAATTTTTTAATACCATTTTAAGATATTTAAAAATTGCTCATATTTTCTAAGGAATAATAATTATTATTATTTCTGGACAAACTGTTCAGTAACATTTTGATTAATCCTACTTTATACCGTACGATCGAAACAATCGGCGCGGCGTCTGAGATGACTTGGAAATCAAGAACACTGGAAATTAATCTTATGTAAAATTATATTGAGAATTTCATCGTTCGTCATTTCCAAGCCAACTGGACGCCGTTTTTTATAGATTATACGGTTCTCTATATTATTATGCAAAGAGTACATTTGCGGCTCATTAAAATGAGCATCGTGCGTTGTCGTATTTACGCAAACGTCGAAAAAGAAATACGATTTCGCTAAAAATTATCATAAATTTTGCACGGTCCCACGCGAAATGACCAAGTCTAGTTAGGAATGTTCCAAAATATCGATTCCTACTAATTTTATATACGTTGAATCTCTCAAATTGTATGGAACCACCAGATTTTTCCACAAAAATCAATTGAAACATATCTTTGAATGAAGTGGTATAGCAATAAAATTAGCTAAAACACAAAGTATATAGTTTAAGTAACTTATGTACACTAAATTAAAAAAAAATTAAATTACTTAAAACATGAGTATTTGCAACATTTCTATAATATCGATATTCTTTTTTGGACAGAACATTCTTAGATATATTGTTTTCTTTGACTTTAAATAGTGCATCTTATTGCGTAAACATCAGTGTTTTATGACCAGTACCAAATGTAGGTCTTGGTTTGTAAATGTTTCGGTTTTTGGTCATTGTGGGGGTTTAAAACAATACAACAACCTCTCTCTGTGTTTTACAATTTTAATTAATGATGTTTGAATATTTCTTATATTTCTTTTTCTTTTTAAATTGTAAATTAAAAAAAAAAAAAAAAAATGTAAAACTATGACGTAGGGTAGACGTGGAATTTAATTCAATGAATTTTTTTTTTTTTATTTTACGTGTTGTTATATATAAATGTTGGTAAGTTATTAAAATTATTTATAGAAAATATAAAATTCTAATGAAATAGATGAATTATAATAATTATTTATAACCATAAGCATCCGATACGCTACTGAAGCAGATAAGTTATCGTGATTATCTTGTATTGATGTATCTAAATTCTTGACATCTAATCTTTGACTAGTAAATGAAACAAAAATGCAAGGAAAAGATATATAATGGATTAATTTAAATTGAATTTCATAAATGATCCGGTTTATTACACGTATGTATATTATATAGTCACTTACTAGAGCGAAAGAGTTGTTCCATTATTTCCTATCGATTTTTGTCGAGATCTTTGTCGAGATCTACCGTACGCTACACAAACAACTATTTTAGAGTCTTTCGATAAATCGCGATAGTGTCACTGTTAATTTAAAGTTCTGCCACAATTTTCATCTAGATTTACTACCTTTATACAACTATCAGTATTAGAATAAGCAATGAATACTTATAAAATAAAGCTTCAGTAAGAGACTGACAAGATCCACAAGGAACAAGTCAATTAAATGTGTCAAGTGAATCGTCAAGACAGAGATTGTCAGGGATCCCCACCCTAGAGTCCTTTTTTCGCCCACCATGCCTGCAGGTGTGGATGCAGCATTATGCTCCACTGTAGTCTCTTCTTATTACAAGATATCAGCTAATTGATGTCTACCACCTAGACCTGATGTTCTAGATTACATTTGAAATTTAAAGAAAACCAAATAATTAAACCAAACCAAAGCACACTTCTACGCTAATTTAAGGAGCTACTGGGTATTCCACTAATTACGAGGGTTCTGAATGAGAGCTTCATCAATAGTCCACAGAAATTATATTTTTCATAGTTCATATATTCCCAATTGTAATGTCATCCACTGTGAGTTGGAGAAGTGGTATTTTCCAGCACTGAGGATGTTCCAAACTCCTGAACTGACAATTATTCTCCCAGTACTGTTTCCGTCAGTTACCATTCCAGTCAATGTCGCATTGGCATATCTACCAATGACAATGTGCAGTGTTGTGAAGTCTAGAATTATCTAACAGCACCAGAGACAACACTATGATGCAGACAGAATATAGATGCAGACGATACTCAGGTAGATATTTTATTCATTTTAAACAATATTTAATTTTTTTTATTTTGTGTTTTATATAGTGAATTTAATAAATATTATAAGAGAAATATCTTGATAATTTTTGTTGATATTTTATTTCGTCCTTTTTATGTAAAGGTTTAATGCCTTATAAAGATTCTTATCCAAGCTTAAACCCTATTTGTAACTCTAACTCCTTCATAATGCAAAAATGACCTGGATTTATGTTGATTTTACACGTACCCTGCTGAAGTTTAGTAACTACCATGAGATGGTACAGTAGAGTGTATGATTTAAACTGCTTATCGTTTCATATGGTTTTAAAATTCACATTTATAATTCTTCAGTGCATGGCTATTTGACACCTTTGAAATAATAAAGAAGTCATGTAACCAGTACGTGGCAAA